GAACGATTGATCTGACGATAAGAGGTTGCAAGATAAGAGGATAGAGTGATCATGCATCAGCACAGACGAGAGTTAGTTACATCAAGCTCTCTTTCCCGCAAAGTCTCAACGAGACCACATGTGTAGGTGACAATCAACGTCTACTTGCGGCGTATAAAGCAACCTGACGGTGCGCCAAGTCTAAGTACCATAAATGTCGGCTTTTGCGCGTAGCCATCACTTATCTAAGTGTTCTATGAAACGATAAAAAGATCCGACGAGTTGGACGACAAGCGATCAAGGTTACACGTCACTTTTTCAAAGTGCGACAATTGTTGGCTGGGGTGCACGGCAACTCTACCTCCTCGCAGGTCTCATAGCAAAAGTAAGTAACTGTTACTCAATAGCATTATTGATACTAGATCTACGGAGCGAGATTTCCTGGCTCGCTGCGCTGTACCGTACCGCTATTGGGTAATAGCTGACTCTTCGCCCAGTCTGCCAGCCAAAGGGTGTTCCCCCAAGAACAAATGGGCTTTTCGAAACTGGGGGGCGTCCTTTTTGTGGCTGCATCAAAGTGCCAAAATGAAGAGTCTAGCTACCGGTAGGCCTACAGGGTAGTCATCAGGTAAAGTGCGTTGAATGGCAAAAGCTGAAGAGTCAATAGATATCATTGTAATTGCTGCAGTATCCAGCAGCTCTATTTGCCCATGCCTTTATTAGCTAGCTAGCTATTGAAAGCTATCCGAAACCAAGAAACTATTCCCAATCAGGCAGATCAGCGCACGATGTAGGCTCCTTCACCAAATGTAAAGCTATCTAGTTGGTAGCTAGCTAGAGTAGCCAATAGTTTGTAGAGGAAAAACCGCGGTGATCATTCGGGGGGAGATGTTGGAAGGTCCGGGGACTTTCTAATTCCTTAGTTAAAAATGGAAAGGAGGGATCCTAGCTAGTACTGGTACCGGCACTACTGGCACTGGCGATAGCTTAGCCGTAGTAATGGATACCGAGGAGCGGGCGGGCCCCTGTCATGACTTGACTCAACTAGATTTCTCAGTCCCGAGTATTGGCATAATTGGCAAACCACTTTTTTCGGAGGATTTCACAGCCAAATTCGTGAAGAGAAACGATCTCTTGGCGATGCCACTGTCACAGGGAGCAACTTTGCAACAGTTCTGGCAAGCGGCAAGTCCTCTTGTCTATGGCTCCTACTAGTTGCAGCCGTACCGTAGTACCTGGCAGTGGCAAACTCGTGTGGTACCGTAGCTGAAGACCATATCCAACGAAACCATATCCAACGAGTGGTTCCGAATCGTGAAGACCATGTTGCCAACGCACCCGTTTCGTGTTGCGACATGTGAGGCAGAGACAAGCAAATTTGTAGTAGATTACGACAACCAGGGCCAACAGCAACGAGAAGACAAGCTGAGTCCGACCAAGTCAGAGTTGTCGCTCCAGGAGCTGAGAACATGCCACCGCAACCTGCCCAGCACCGATGCCATTGGCCCCAGCACCTTATGGAGCTCCTGTCTTCGGGGCTCCAGTACTGGGCGCACCAGTGACAGCTCCAGCTCCAGCATTAATGGGCGGCCCAGTTCTGGGTGGCCCCGTCCGAGCTGCTGTCCCGGCTCCAATTCCGGCTTCGATAAGTTATGGGGGCCCGGCTTCAGTAAATTATGATATGCCAATGTTGGGTGCCCCTGTTCGGTCGTTCTGGGTGCCCCCGTTCTGGGGACCCCGGTGTCTGCAGCAAGAACTCCAGTCGCTGCCACGCCACCAAAGTTTGGAGCCCCAGTTCCTGCACCAGCCCTCACAAACACCTGGCTCGAGTAGCCCATTCCATTCGTCATTATGCCCACGCCCCCAAGTGCCCGAAGACATGTTTTTCTTATCTATTCGAATCTCTCTCTTTGTCTCTGACCCACCAAATGATCCATTGACGATACCGGTAGCATCACGATGATTCATCGCCACAGTCCTTCCGCTCGCAATGGTATCCCCACATTGATCATGGCAATCTTTTGCTGGCTTGTTTTCGTTACGTGGGCTGTTGTTGAGGCAGTCAATCCATCTGAAGACGAGGCAAGAAGTTCCGGTGGTTTGGGTGATTCGAGTCTTCCACTGGCAGTATCCTTGTATCTAGAGAGCCCCGAGACTGCCATTGAACTGTGGGGTCCAATATCCGACTGGGATACTCAGCATGTTACCACTTTGGATCGCTTGTTCGAAGGAGCCATCAACTTTGACGAGGATCTCAGTCAATGGAACACGGACAAAGTGACCAGCATGGAATATACGTTTGCCGGCGCCGCACACTTTAACCAGCCTCTCAACACTTGGAATGTCGCCAAAGTCAGCTCCTTGTTTGGAACCTTCAATGGCGCTTCAACCTTCAATCAGAATCTTAACAAATGGGATACCTCAAAAGTCACCGATATGGGATCCACTTTCAAGGGAGCTTCCGAGTTTGATGGGTCTTTGAACGGCTGGAACACGACCTCTGTGAGAAACATGGAACGCATGTTCTATGGGGCTTCCTTCTTTACCGATCAGCGTAACTCGCTCAAGAAATGGGATGTCACCTCTGTCACTACCATGCACAGTATGTTTTCAGGCGCAACGGCATTTGCAGGTGATATTACAACCTGGAAACCCTGGTCGGTGACAAGCTTCATGGGCATGTTTGCTTACACGGCATCCTTTGATCAGGACTTGAGTGGCTGGGATGTGTCCAGCGCCATTTTTATGGATCGCATGTTCTATCGGGCTGTCGCCTTTGAGAGTGAAATTTGCTGGGATGACTCCATTTCAGACGGTACGTATACCCCATAGGAATCAATCGAATCACTCTTGACTTTCGCACTAACCAATTTCGCTTACCCATGCCATTTTGCCTGATACCGGTACCTTCAAAACAACTAAACCACACAATCTACAATCATGACAAACAAAAGGTGTCTCGGGTAGCGAAATCTTCTGCGGTAGCTCTGGAGAGTTTACTCTTGAGTGTGTCGTTATACCATCCGGCTCGGAAGATTATTGTCCCGAAACCTATGACGAGTTTGAGGAGGATGAAGAATTGAGGGACGGCCTCACACAACAGCGAGAACAAGAGACTCAGAGTCAAGAAGCAGCGATACCTGTAGGAGACGGGAATTCACCAGGTTATGGTGGATCAGGAGGCATTGGAGCATTAAATCCTGGAGGCATGGGACGAGATCATCCCGAATACACAGCCAATTTGAATGGCTGGCAAAACAGTCCAACAACGACAACAACAGAGGAACAAGAAGGAGAAGAAGTCGTACCAGCAGCTGCTGAAGATAATCCCGGCGGTGCCCCTCTTGACATTAATACGGATAATGCCGACAGTGCCAATCCTCATGATCAACCATTCTCGGGCAATTCCTACCCAGAATCGGTTGTTTTGGTTGTTGAGGAATCCTCTGCCAGTGCGTTTGCAATGACGAGCATCGCATCAATATCAACAGTTACTGTGCTGGTGGCATCCCTTTTCCTTGTCTTCACATAAGAGAATCAAATCTTGAACCAGCTGCAACACGCCTTCACCGAGGTTGTTTGCAGATGCCCGTGAGGCTCTCCTCCGCGTCCTTTGCAACGATAGCCAAGCTGCACTCGCAACTACAACACTGCTGACAGAATTCCAATGGCTCCAGCTCCTCGTTATTTCCATGGACCACAGCAGCCAGGAGGAACAGCGATAATGTGGGCCCAAAGCAAAGGCATGATATCTCTACGTATCTAATCTGCCCGTACCAGGCAGTTTTCCCTGTTGAGACTGAAATCAGTCCAAGAAGTTTACTTTATAGCTCACGTAAAAATGTACTGGGAAAGCATGCATTCCCATCAAGAGACTGAGTCTGCTGTTACAAATACAGTTGGCTTGGATTCATAAAGAGTCTACTGGCTAGCTAGTGCAGAGTTTTCGACAAGCATACCAAAAGATGGGGAAATGGCCCATGATATGCTTGATCAATGCATCTTGCTACCAGGTACCGGTACCCCTAAGTCAGAAGACTCGTGTGGTGCGTGGAAGGTGGGCTGGTGAATCACTATTGGCATCCTTCTCAATTATTAAGTGATTGCAGGCAACAATGAGGGTGTATCTCTTGTCAAAAGTCTTTATTCCGTGGGGGCTCTGGCAATGGGAGTGATTCCCTTCTACACTCAGTATTCTTTCTTCCAGTATAGCACATTCTTTAGTTTTGTTACTCCGAGAATATTTATTGTCCCAGCGTTCTTCTCTCGTAGTACGGTATACACATGCATACTGGTCTTGTGGGGTAACAACATTCCATCGACTGAGACTCTGCAGAGATGCTCCCAGGATCCTCCACCGTTCAATACTGTATCGTTCGTTTCAAATTCACTCCCATGCTGCGCACCACTCTAGAATCTGCAAAGAAACCAAACGCAGGGGTTAGAGTTGAATGCATGCAAAACAGAGAACATTATTGCATATGATACCAAAGAGAAACTCACGGAGGCTGCCGTTGCCTACTCATCGTCAAGCCCCGGCAATTGGTTGCCGAATGAACCCTGAAGGTTCTCACCAGCTTCTGTGTAGTGATGGCAGTTTTCTGCCGACGGCTTTTTCAAGCTCTTGCGGCACTTCCCGCAAGGTTTGCCGGCTTTGCTGTTGGGCACAATCAGTGTGCCTCGTGACATGTTGGTCACCAGCAGGAACCAACGTCCACCGAGTTCATCGGCATGTTCCCCCTTGGCCAACTCATCACACCAGTTGGGGCGGGTGGGGCCATCCTTCTTGGAACGCCCACGTTGCACCAGCTTTTTGGGCGAAACGTTTTTGGGAGACAGGGCCTTGGCCACATGTCCCCCCTTGGCGTGCACCTTCCTCGTCATAATCGTTGGAAGGTGAGTGAGCTTCCGTATCCTCCACTTGGTCCAAATCCAGCGTCTCGGCAACGGCATTAACGTCACCAAAATCCAATCTGCTCGCGCCAATTGATTGTTTGGAACAGCCCAGGGATGTTAGAAATGAAAACATAATGCTACACACATGAAACACAGAGGAAGCGCAAAAACAAAAAAGGCGGCTCCGTCAACAATTCGTACCTTCACTCTTCGATTCCAAGCATGGTTGTAGTTGCGGCCTTGGCTGGCCCTCAATTCCCCGTCGTCTTCACTGGTGTCATCCAGATCGGCTTCGTCGTTGGCATCGGCGTCGTCGTCAGTGGGTTCATCCGGATCGGCTTGGTCATTGGCATGGGGGGCCCCATAGAGTGCCCGCATGGCCTCTCTCAAAGACTCCGAGCATAGTGCTGATACCGGTAGTTTGTCCCAACCCTTAACATCTGTTAATGCGAACCAAGCTCGAGCGAAGCGACATTAGGGTGAAAGCGGTAGAAGGCAGTGATCTGATTGGCTAATCAACCTATGACATCAGCAAATGCGTCAGCAAAGATTCAAATATACTTAACGTACCGTTTATAAAGATTACAGAGCTAGTGTGCTACCTAGTCGCCATTTTCGTGTTTCGCGAAAACAGAAAGAAGGATTCCGTTGAAGAAGACGACATGACCAACCACCGGCAACACCACCGGAGAGCCACTCGACAGTCATTAACTTGGCCAGCAGCAGCAGCAGCAAAAGAGGACCATGGAGCCACCAACAGCAGCTACACTCATAATGGAGGAATGGGCTGCAAAGTCAACAGAGGAACTCGCAACAGAAGAGAGCTACCAACTGCTGCCAAACAACAACAACAGATCCAAGAGAGCCAGAGAAGAAGGACCCCAAACAACACTGGCAGGAGAGGTAGCAGAAGTCTTTGATCACTCAAGAATGTGTCATCTGTAAGGCCAGACATCTTGGTCTCAGAATCCCAAAAAGATCACACACGTTCTCTGTATTAAGAATACAGTAACAAGAGGAAGAGGAGATTTGAATGAGCTGACAATGGAAACCATCAGAGAGAGCAGAAGACTCACAAGGCACTTCAGTGCTCCTCTTCCACTGAATGAGAGAGGAAGCTGGAAGCATTCCACAAGAGAGAATGGAGATGCCTTCTTCGCTGCTAGAACGAATACAGCCAATCCGAGCCGGCAACAGAAGACATCCACAAGGAACACAACCAGCACAACTCCACTAGCTCTCTGTCGAAAGGTAACCACTCTTGTAAAGGATTCTGCTTTGTGGAACAGCACAAGACCAAGGAGCACCACTGGCAATGCTAGCAATGGCACAAGTAGTGTCAGAGTCCATTATCAGGCCAAAAAATCCACAACTGTTCAGCCAACACTTTGAAGGACTCACCATGACAGTTCCATCCACAGAGGACCAATTCAAGTCTCCACACTATCACTCTATTGTTGGCCAGAAACTCCTCTGGTGGACTGGATCGATGTGGAATTACTGTACCTTGTCCCGATGGAAGATGCTCTGGCCACTCAAGAATGCGAGGCATAACTGGTCAAGAACAAGACCTTGTTCCCTATCTTTGGCATCACTGGAGCTCCATCTTGGTGCATTGTCATGTCAATGGTCTGTGACTGTTGCAAGAGAAGGTTTGATGCCAACAGTGCTGAAGTCTTGTGCACAATCCCACAGCATGCTGCTCTCCTCTATCCTGTGGAGTCAAAGTATGCCCTTCCAAACAAGGCATGTCACCTGGACAGAAGTGCCACTGAGACTTTCGAATCCATCATGTTGACCTATGGAAATGGAGAACTCTGCAGCCGGCTCATCTACAATGCAATCAACAGAGACTTCATTAGGTCCATGACATCATACTTCTCCTATTGGGAGGGAAGTGACACTGATCCAGATCCCTTTCTTCAAAAGGATGGCACTTACATACGACAGTTTCCTCCTCTTGGTGACACCATCCGTGACATCTATGATGCTGCCTGTGCTTCAAACAGGAATCCGTGGAGGATCAGTGACAACCAAAGGCACACAAGAGAGATCCAAAGTGTCAAGTGCAACAAAGGAATCTTCTGCCAAGACCATACCTTTCAGGTGATCAAGAACTACTCCAAGAGTCTTGGTGCCGGTGCTGTTTGGGATGCTGCCACTGAAACAGGAGAGATTGCCTCTGCTGTTCTTGTTCCCACCACCAAGACAATCCACTTCTCCCATGCTGCCATGCAGCTAGCAAGGAGGAGCCACTTCAACCCAGCTGCCATGTACAGTGACACCTGGCCCCACAAGGATGACTACTGGGAGATACTCTTTCCAGGAATCGAGGGAAGGCTAGGCCTGTTTCATTATGAGAAGAGAATCCTTTCAACATTGAGAAAAGGCCACATTGATTACTTTCAAGCAATGTCAGACCTGTTGGATTGCTTGTACATGTACTCACCCGATGACTATGAGAAGGTTCTGCATGCTTTGAAACATGGCCTCTTGTCCTCCAATGGCAAGCACTACTCCATGGCTGAGATCTCCGATATGCAAGCTTCCAAGGTCTTCAGAGATCGGTACTCCAAGTATCTGAGGAAGCAGATGAGAGAACCAGAGACAATTAGACAGAAGTTGCAACAGTGGTTCTGCAGATACAAGGTTACTGCCAGTGATGGTAGCCAGCCAGGGCAGGGCCGACTCGATCCAGTCAAGAACTATACCTTGTTTACTCAAGACACCAAGCCAGCTGTAGAGAACTGTGTTGATAAAGCCATTCACTTGGCTGATCCACTGCCTTTGGAAGACATGTATGACACAATCCTTCCATCACCCAACTCCAAGCACAGCCTCCCAGAGTATCTGTCAAGGAGAGGAGAATCGAAACTGGAAGCATTCCACGACAAGTTTGCCCATTTCGCCAATAGTGGGATGAGAAGAAGTCTAGCAGATGCCCTCAACCTTGCTGGAACTGCCAGATACAACCTCAACATTCGACACAAGAGAGCCTTCCTGTCAAGAATCAGCCTGGAAGAAAGGAGGTCAATTCCAGCTGGATGGGAAAAGGTTGTTCCATACTGGAACCATTCAGAATTGGCTTACCTCAATGAGCTAGCAGAGGCTGCTGGTGTGGATGCACCATTCCCAAATGCAGAGCCATTGCCACAAGACAATGGAGAGAGGTTCTTTTCAGAGTTCATTGTTGCATTCAAACCACAGCGGCAGAAGTATGCACCCAATGATTGTTGTCTTTGTGTGGCATGTACTCGATCAGCACCGAGTCCACCAGCAATCGAGCTACCACCGAGTCCACCAGCAATCGAGCTACCACCGAGTCCACCAGCAATGGTTCCACCACCACCGCCGCCACCACCACCACCACCACCTGCAGTGCCACAAACAAGAAATGCTTATGTTGGTAATTTGATTCTATACCAGCAACAACAACAAATTCAAATGATGCAACTTGCCATGCAAATGCGGCAATTCCAACCCATACTGCCATATCCTTTCCAGCCACCTCCTCCACCGAATGGCTGCTGTCAGAGATACTGCCAGTGGTTGACCAACAGGAGAGGAAGACCACCTCATGATGCCACCTGTCAAACTCGATTGAATGGATATCTGGAATAAGAACAGCAATAAATATTTAGGTACATCCGATTCATTTCTAATTTAGCAAGTAACTTACATTCAAAGTCCTTGTTGGTTGTTGCCATCAATAAACATAGCCAATTGGGGTCTCAGGCCTCCATGATACTGAAGGTCTTCCATGCACAACATCACAAACTCATGATTCATCATACAATACTCCTTGAAGGAAAATTTGGGTTGGTACCACTGGATGCAATACCCATGCCAAGCATCCATGCAAATCTGGCCTTCAATGGAGGACAACTCATACTCCTCAGTGATCCTATCCTTCGCTAACCAATAGAGGCACTCCATAAAGATGTCCTTCCTTTCACAGGGATGTGGACCCTCCAGCATTTCATACAGGGTAGCAAGCACAGCACGGTACCATTGTGGAGAATCCTGACGTCCCCATTCAAACATGTAGTCCATGATGTCGGTCATGTCAGGAGGGAGAGGCTTGCATCTTCCTTGCATTATCATCTCCTCGAGAATTGGAACAGCAACCGTGGATGAGAGCACACAGCGGTACTTCTTCTCATTGGCGAAACAGACGTCCTCGTGAGCATCCTCGCGATCTTCCAAAACCAGATACTTGCAGCTGAATCCATGCCTTGTAACTCTCAACTCATTGAATGGGTATGAACGATTGACACTTAGCAGCCACTTTGAGAAGACTCGAGTAGTTGCTATCATCATTGTCGACGATTTCGGTGATGGTCGGTGATGGTGATGGTCGGTGATGGTCGTTGTTGTTGTTGCCGCGTTCAAATAAATGGGAAGGTGTGGTTCGAGCAAAGGATTGGGAATGAGCAAGTGAGCGGGTATCCGTTACACAAGATTTGAATCTGCGATCATGTGATTGTGACGCATTTCCTGACGTATTTAATGTTCTTCAGACGTCTTTACCTAGGGGGAGATGAACGGTCATTGCCAACGCCCCTCTTTTCTTTAAGTAACATGACCTGCAGACTCTCTCGGATGTCTCGTACATGACCTGGCATGCTCTCAAACGGGAATCAGGAATTCAAAGGTTAACCCTCTCCCTCTTCTTCTTCTTTTTCCCTCCCCCGCGCTGCTGCCTAACCCCCCCATAAACTCTCCAACAGGCTTCTTGCACCGTGAGGCATCATTTTCCCAATAATAGCTACCTCAAGAGAGAAGGCATACCGTATGAATAGGGAAGTACACGTACATGTAGATACCGTAGCAGCATTTCGACAACTGCTACTCTACCTAAATAAGTGTGGGAGACGGCTACAAACAGGCAAGTCGGCAAAATCTCTTTTGTTTCTGTCCTTATTAGTGTCAATTGTTGTTTTTTGTGTAGTACTACATGATTTTGTTCTGAGAAGATTTCCGTCAAGCCCAGCAGCGAAGGCCGAATCCCAGTTCTTCTCTCGTTCTTGATCAATGAACTTTCTTGCGTGTTTAGTTGCTACCTGGTACTGCCAGATCTGGTTGTCGCCACGGCTAGTATGGTAGAATGATTCAATCACATTCTGTGTTTCTCAAAGGACAACTCCATGGTTAGTCATGCACGTGCGTAAGCAAGGGCAAGCAATCCAACCTGCTGACTGAACGTACCGTCTGGTTGGCTTCTTGTAGATTGATTCGATTCAATCATATTCTATGTTACGAGTCCATGTGGTATTGTCGAAGGCCGCCAATAGATTGGCTCGGGATCCATTGGCAGCAAGGTCATCGTCAATCTCCGCCTGATTGGGGCGTATTGGCCCAGCAGCCCTTACTGATTGAGCAACATCTGGAGGACTTCGTCCCGCTGGCGTCTTTCTCTGTCCTGATCGCGGTTGGCATCTACACGCCGAAACTGTTCAATAATCCGAACAAACATAAAGTCTCGATCTCTGTTGTTGTGTACCGACATGTTGTTTTGCTGTTGCGCTCGGAGCATGTCCATAGTGGCGCCCACAGCCGCTTGTTGACGACGAGTTTCTTCTTCTCTGGACTCTATCCAACGAATAGTTTCTCGTTCCTCACGATGTGCTTCGGCTACCTGACGCTGTTGATTCAAATTCAGCAGACAATGCCGCGCTTGAGCAGCCAGGTCTGCAATGACTGCCGCACGACCGGTCATCATGTGCGCTGGAACAGGTACCACTATGGGGAGGCCTCCTGCTGGAAGAACCAATGGCGGACGGCCAGTTGCCATCGTTGCCTGGTACACTGGCGCCACCAGAGGGCCATTGGCAACCACCATTGCTTGTGTGCCATCAATGATTGGCGCCGGCACAACAGTGCGCAAAGTGTTGCTCTCCTGTCGGCGAGGGAAATTTGGTGCTGCTGTTGTCTGAGGCTGTAGCATCGCTTCCTGGCTGTCCGCAGCGACGTTCGCAATGGCGTGGGCACTCAATTGCTGGTGAGGGTGGTTCAAATGATCGTCGTGGTTTGGAGATGCCAACAGTTGCCGAATTTCTTGAACCGTTAGGGTGACATTTCCGTTCTCGTCCGCGTTCTCCAAGAGCCGCTCTACTAGTAGTTGCTGTCGCATAGTCAGACCAGAAACATTCTGGATAGCACGATTCAAAATCGGCTCGTTGTCTTGGCGTTCTCCGGCCATGGTCGCGAAGACGCAAAAAGAACGTACAGTCGACAGTAAGAGAACAAGAGATGAGCGTTGGATGTCGACGTGCTTCGTTGTCTTCACTGGTAGGGATCCCTCTTGGTTCTTGGTTCTTCCTGTAGTTACAGATTGTTGCGTTGGAGAGAGAGACGACACTAGCGTTGCATCCTTGTTGGCTTGTTGGCTTGGTCGAAAGAGGAGAGCGGAGAGGAATTGTGGCTTGGTGGAAGCGAATCAACCTTGGTCTCGAAGACAGCTTTGGGAGTCAGGTAGCTGTGGGAAATATCATATTCATGCAAATGAGTAAATCTGAGCTTTAACCCTATATTTACCTCACCTACATGTTCTAGCAAGTGAGTCCTGTATAAATTCATTATTCGTGACTGGTGCCCTCTCTTTATGGAAGCATGGCAATGCACCGTACATTTCCCCCTTCCAAGGCGAATGGTTGTGTTGCATGTGGCTGTTGTGCGTTGTGCTTTGTGAGAAACAACGCACAGCACAGTTGTTCTTGAACGTTTCACTGCACGGGAGTGACTCAGATGAGGCACGAACAATCGACCTGCAGATGATCGACTTAGATTGCGACAGTTCCTGGTTGAAGGATCATCTGGTACCTGTGGAGCTAGGACCGTCCATCGAGATCGATATGGGTTGGTTTCAAGTAGCATGTGGGGCGGTGAGACAGCAAGATTCGATTGTATGGAGACCGTCGTTTTCCTTGGGCTGAGACTTCCTGTGTCATAAAACTGCGTACAGTACATACATACCGGTACGGTAGCTGCTGGGAAGCATGCCTCTCTCAAGAGCTGCCTCCAAAACTCTCCGACTAGAGGCCCTCGTGCCCTTAAAAAAGATGGAGCCGAAAGGAACGAGCTTGCTTCTTCACTCTAGTAGGATGTCAACAATGTCAGGCTTGGCACCAGCCAGCCAATCCAGAGAACTGAAGATAGCTCCCGCTGCCAACACTGCATGTGGTCACCGAGCCACTCCCGTCTGAACACCACCAGCAACGGTACCGGTAGCCAGACTGAACCGTCCCCATGGTCAATGGTGACCCGGATAGGATTGGAGCTGCATGTAGACTAAAGTATTTCAAAGGGCAAATAAATCGCGGGATTAGATCATCACCGACTGCTGGCCATGGCCGAAATTCGCCGATCCCGAGCCGGTGATGTCTTTCCGAATTCTGATTGCAGGTCACCTTTCAACCTCTTAAATCGTTTCTTGAGCTTCCAGCCAAGGGAAGTACTTCTCTTATCTTCTTTGTGCTACTGTAAGTCATTGATAAGGTCACCAAATTTGTATTGTACAATACGTCGCTCAGTGAATACTCCATCCAATACCGCGAACTTTTCCAAGTAACTGGAACCGAGTGGAAAAGTCGGCGAAGCAAAGCCACTCACACTGCGTGCGAACTGCGACCAAGGGCAGGGCTAACTAAGGGTTCACTGGTACCGATACCGGTGAGGTCGTGAGGTCCTTCTACCGGCTGTTGTGGCTTGGGTCCATGGGGAGTGGGGACGTGGGGACCCCCGCTGGGCTCTGCCGAGCACTGCCGAATAAACACTGCACAGAAAGGGGAATGAAGAAAGATGAAGAGCACGAACGAAGAACTGGTAGCCACGGTTGAACTTCTTTCGGAAGGCAAAAACTGCACAGACTGATGGCGCGACTCGGGCAACCTCCAACACGAAGCCCCAGCAGCTAAGGTTTTCATGCAGCCTCTCACAAATTGCAAACAACCATCAAAACAAACCACAAACCCAAGACAACAAACCACCAACCAAGCAGATAATAGCAACAAGTGAGCAAACCATCGACGAAGAACAGACAAGCTACACAAGAAACAGATCATATCATAAAATACAATCCACAATGTTGAACCGCAGTACCAGCAACCCATCCACAAGAAGAATCAGAAGGCGTTCTTCCAACGAGAGAACCTACAAGCTCGACCTTGACGCCAACCATATTGAAAGCCTCATTAGATGGTTGTGCGAGGAAAGCAGTGATGATTTCCTCGCAAAAGCCTACCGCCAACGGTATCAAGGTCTCGGAGAGCGACAGCAGCCACACAACCAGAACAACACATGGACACAAGAAGACCTCTGTGACGTTATCTCCGCCATCCAAGCACTCCTTAGTTCCGTCACCAATCCACCCTCGTCAATGGTTGCCGAAGCACACTCCACTATCGGTATCATTCACCAAAGATTGAATCAAGACGCACGAGCAACCCAGTCGTTCATGCAAGCCCTGTGGGTTCAAGCTTCCAGTGATGACGTCTCTCCAATCACCATTGGAATGACCAAAACAAGACTTGCCCTTGCCTATGGCCGCAAAGGAGAGAGCCAAAAGGCAATCAGTCTACTAGAAAAAGCCATTCAGGACTTTCGAGAGGGCGGCCTTAGTGAAGAGCACGAGCTCGTGACCCGAGCCAAGGAAGCCCTCCATGCTTTCCATTTGGCAGAAACCGCAAGAAGAAACCGATCCAACAGTCGTCGTATTTCTCAGGGAGCCGCTTAAGAATAGAGAGTTACTCTAAATCACGCTTAGAAATCTTTTTCCCAATTTAAACATTCTCGAGGCAGACTAGCTAGAGTACAGAAAGAGTGGGGTAGTGGGGCTTTGCTTTCGTGTTCATACGCTCATACGCACTCGTTGGCTCGGGGCGGGGGTTGCCCAAGGCTCCCCAAGCCAACACTCCATCCGAAGCTACAGATAAAGGAGGAGACTCTAAAGAAGGGTCTTGCCGCGTCAGCAGCGGATCTTCGAGAACTAGATGGTGAAGAGGACTATTCCTTGCTGGATGCACGGGCGGATGCAATGACAATCGTTGTCGTGGTACCGCAGTGGGAGCTCGCAGCTGCTGGAAAGAGAGCCCAGAAAACTTTCTCCCGATGCAAGGGCCACCCGCCAAGGCATGTAGCCGCTCACAGGCTTGGAGATTCTTGACGCTCGAGGTATCACCCACCCATTTAGCCAAGCCTCCGTACATGCATCCCCGCCCGTTCCATTCGCGAAGTTTGGCCTTGAAAGTCTAAGCCAACAAGATGCCTCGCACGGCAGCTTTAACTTTACGCCATGGGAGGCATGGATTGTAGGGAGAAAGACGTACCATTTGAACTGATCTTCCGGTTTTGTTCATGCAGTTATATTCGATCAGCTCTAATTGATAACCTCTGCGTAGCGTTTCCCTTGCATCTTGCATGAGGTGGGGACCCTCGGTTGTGATTGAGCCAGCTAGATAGCTTTGACGTGTGTGACTTTATGGCCCTCACTATGATACGTTTGGATCAATCCTGGCCGGCCGGCGAACTAAATTTTTAGACTCACATTTTGCGAGAAAAACCGTTGCTCTGGGAGCCTGAACGTAGCTATTTGAAAATGTGTTAGCCTGTGCTAGGGTTGGAAATGAAGCTTGGTCAGTGTGTTGAGAAGGTTGATGTCCAATGGCAGCACGGGGCTATCCATCGTCAAAGAGAATTTAAGATTTCCCCAGAGCGCATGTTTGCGCCATCTTCTGGGGTAACCCGAATTCTAATTTCATGGGTGAAGCTTGGGAAAGCTCTGCGACCAAATCCTCGTAGTAGTAATTTCTACGTATGACGTCATGAGATGCAATCGGCCACAATTTCGAGAGTATCGAAACATCATCAAACCTGAACGGACGAAATGGGGATAGTTTTCTGCTTCAAAGAAACACGATGAGGGCTCTCTTCTTTATAGTCTCCGTGGTTGAAAAGAAAACGCCATGGCGCCAAGTGCCTCCTCGAGTAGCCGCAGCAGTGACAGCGGCGGCAGCCGCCGGTCTGGTAGGTTGATTGCTGCGTTGCAGAAAGATGATCCAAAGCCAAAGATCGCTCCTTTGAAACCCATGAACCGGATTTTGTATTGCACTGATTGGCCCTTGGAACGAAACTTGCTCTGTAGTGGGTGTGTCTTCTATGAAGACGCTTCGCTCACATGCAAACTTGGCAAGTCAAGGGAAGAAAGCCACTCATCAGAGAAATTCTTGTGCATCAAGCCATGGACTATGGATCCAACCACCTGTGATGTTTCTCTGAAGTACAACCGATCTCCTGGATGGCTTGCAAATATTCAATCTTTCCTCAAGGACACATTCATTGCCAACGCTGATCGCCTCATTGAAACTCCAGTTGCACATTTAGCCACAAAGAGAGCATTACCAGAAACTGTGCCAGGAAGTGAGGAAGGTAGCGCAGTTAGTGATCTAACACCTGGCGAAGCTGCGGCAATCGTGGAAGTGCAAGTTGATGGTCGCAAAAAGAAGAAAGCCAAAAGCGATGTATCTTTGGAAACCAAGAGTGTCAACAGCCAAGGTCATGAATTCGAAATCACCGGAATTCCCAAGTCACACGCAGTTATCCACCGAAATCAACTTGCTTGTTTGAAGAATAGCCACAGCATTCTCCAGACTTTGAGAGAGTCCTTTTGTCACGAGCGTTTCACCCTTCAAGCTTCCCATGAAATGAAGACAATTCTGGGGGTGGCACTTTCCAGTTGCCCCGCATTACCACTATCACAAGCAGCAGTGATGATGCCCATGTTCGTTGCAGCATTCTTGCGAGATGCGGGTGTCCTAGACACAAACAAACTAGGCATCGAGAAGTACTCCAAATCTTTCCCCTCTGAAGCTACACTGAGAGAGATGATGTTCAAGATGGCAGCAGAGAACACTTATGAGTTAAGCGCCAAGTTGAAAGGAAAGCAAGTATTCCTTTCCTGTGACAAAGGAAACAAGAAGGGTGTCGGTCACTTTGCGAAAGTTGTGTCTTGGTATGATGACGAGAGAGTACAGAAACAGATCTTAGACATTGATGGATCCGGTGGGACGTCCATTGAGTGTGCTGATGCTATTATGTCTTCTTTGCGGAAGCTACGCCTAAATCTCAAGTTCCAAGGACAAACAACCGACAGTGGAGGAGGCGGTGTCTTGGATGGATTGGCTGCACACCTGACGTCTCGAAGTCTCTGCCGTCCTAACTACTTGGTCGCCCCTTGTGGATTGCACGTCCTTCAACTATCTGTCTCTGTCCCAGTAAATGACACAATGGGAGAAGGTGGTTTGGACAAAAGGAATTGCATGCAGCTTCTTCATTCCGTGTATGACTTACAAGAAAGTATGGAGATGGACGTTTGGAATACACATGTCAAAGAAGCATTGAAGTTTATGCAGGAACATGGCGAAGGATACGATGGTGTCACTACTGGCGATAAGCAGTTTGCTGAGAAGTGGAACAAAGTGTTGACCTTTCGCCAGTTCGAGAACACATTGAATGGAAAAGAGAAGAAGAGAGTCCTACTTAAGATCAGCAAACCTGTTCTTACAAGATGGTGGAGTGTTGGCCAAACGGCACGTCTTGTGTTTGATGCTTACTTGCTTCTGGTACGGGTCACTCAAAGTGTGATCAACACACTGTCTACCAAGCCAAACAAAGTTGCGTCCGGTCTACAAGCACTGATGGTGGAGCCTTTACTCTATTCCGACTTGTCCTTTATCAATTGCTACCACAGCGTCTATTTGTGTCCACACTTTGGATGGTTCCAAGACGAAAAGGATTTGTCCGAGCTACCAGGATTCCAAGCTCACAACATCCTGGGCCGATACTTCCTCATTATCCAAGACTTGTCTATTATTAAGGCAACAGCTACAACTACACACCCAGCGTTCAAAGAGTTCCGCGGATCCTTGGAGAAGCTACCAGATGCCCTTATCGCGGAACAATCAAAGAAGGTCAACATCTTCCTTGATAAAGCTGTGACGTCCATCCACAAACACTTCAAGCGATGGGCCAATAAATCTCTGTTGCCTGCGGCACTTCTGTCAGAAGAACCACTGTCTTCCATTGTTGCAGCAGTCATCCTAGACAGAACGCAAGATCTTACAATGGAACCGGCTGAGTATGGTTCTGAAGTACACAAACGCACATTCAAATTGGATGCTTACCTCTCTTTTGTCCAAGTGCACTACGCTAAAAGCTAGTGTAAAGATCTTTCGAGTGTTTTGAGTTTGAGAGAATGAAAGTTATGAGAGAGATTAGAAAGCTATGAAAACTAATCAATGAGAGAGATCATCATCAAGGGATCGTAGATCTGGCTTCCCGCGGGAGACTATAAAGTGTGATAGAGTAGGTTGTGGTAGTAAGCCTACGTCTCTCCACGATCCTAAAACGGAACGCGTGGAAGGTCTGCCTAGCCTGGATCTAGTAGCGTGGAAGTACTCCACGCTGGCTAAATATCTAGAGCGATGTTTCATCATCAACCTAGTATGACTAGCGCGGTCATTGAGAACCAGTCTCAGATGACTATTCACGAGAGACTCAGTCATGAGTCGAACTCAAACCCTATCTAGGATCGAGTCGCGAATAAGGCTAAGAGCCGTGTATTGCACAAGCAGCGGTGGCAAAGAACAACACAGCTGATCAGGTGGATCAGCCATATCAGGCATTGGCAGTGCATGCAGCGACATTGGTCCTTGACGGTTTGGTTGACTTGCGACAGAAGGAAGAACCGTGTCCATATCGACATTGGATGTACCAAACCTACTTGCCGTTGGCCACTCACACGCAGTTTGTTGAGTCAGCCGTGAAGGAAGCCAAGAATGTGTCAAGCACCGACAGATCCGAACAGCTACGTTCTGTGTATGCTGTCAACAGATCAGCCAATGTGCACTCTGTTGGGGTGTTGCGAGAGATGACATCAACAGAAAGGATCCAAGCTCTTCTTGTGAGCGCTCGCAACCACCATGACCGACACATGGAGTACAAAAAGGAAGACAACCAGTACACTGCTGCTTTGGCTGACATTGACTCCATCATTCGCGAGGACCACTTCAAGCACGAGCGAATTGAACAGCTAAAGGCTGAGGCCATTCAAAAGGGAGGACGCAACAAGAAAGAAAATGCAATCCAAAAGAAAACTGGCGTCCACAAGACAACACTCATGATGGACATGTTTCCATATGGAAAGATCAAGAAGGCGCTTCATTTCCATGCAGTCAAGACAGAGCTGCTCTTCCGGGGTGTTGACGAAGCAACCATTGATGCCATGGGTATCCGTGATCGAGTGAAGAGCCTTCGACAGCATGAAACTGGTCGTGTCGCGGACCAACAAGAGGAGATCAAAACTGCCGCGGAGAAGGCTTTCACTCCATTGTCAGCGGCTATGTTTCCACAGTCCTAACACTTGTTGCCTTCCTCCTCTCACAGTACTGATAAAGAGGGGTGCCATGCACCTCCATCGTAACATGTAAACAACCAAAGAGTGGTATCTTCCTTGTCGGCCGTTGTTGATATGCCTGTTGTTGTGTTTGTTCTATGAGCGATGACCTGGTGACGTCATTCTTGATGTACCAGGTCTACGTGTGGGGGCCGTAGCGCAGAGCCAAGTACCAGAAAATCGATCTTTCTACGGTGAGTGAGGGCCATAGACTTTATTATGGCGCTGACCTTGCCGCCGTGCTCTTGCGAAACAATGACGAAATTGGGCAATTTCGGAAGATGTACATTTCCGGAAACGATTTGACACTTACCTGGTAGATTCTTAGGATGTGGAGACAATTTCGGTTATCACTGCTCCGGTTTCTATTTTCGGTTCATGGAACACTCACACCTTGGCACTCCATTCTGGGAGCTCTGTTGACATTGATATCCGATATCCACTCCTCTCTTCCACTGGTCTTGACTGTCACAGCTACTGTCGCTCACCCTTGCTTCCAACGAGGTCGTCCCTCTCTCATTCGCATCGCCATGCCTTCCTCAACAACAAGTTCGACTGCTGGTGCGGCTCTTTGTGGCTTTGAAGTCATTCTCATTGCAAAAATGCTTTCAGTCTTTGTGGTCCTCGGAGTGGTCTCCATCTCCAACAGTTTTCTAGTAGACTCGGACATCCCCAAGCATCACTTATTCTACATCTTTGGAACCTGCTATTTTGGACTCTTTAGTCTCATCTCATTTTTGCTCTTGCATTCCACTGGTGCTGCTGACGCTGGAAATCTCATTCAGACGGACCAGAAGGATCAAGAAAACCCACCGTCTGCCGCTGCTACATTTGATTCAGGCCTCGACATGTGCCGGAATGCATTTCTCATGATGGGAAAGAACGGAGAAACACAAGAATTGACGGAGAAAATCCAGGCCATGGATCTTTTGACAAAGGAATTCGTTCAGCTTCAGTCTAATTTTGCCAACGAGGGAATCCTTCTACACCACAGCGACATTTGGATCAACACTTTTTCCTTCTTGGGTGTCGGGCATTACGCCTACGTGGCGGGTGTGAACAAACGCATGAAGGAAGTCTACCTGCAATATTGTGCAACGGCAGAAGACTCGCCACAGTTGAGGCGGCCTGAATGGCGCGCCGCTGAGGCGACAGACACTACAAGTGGTGCTGCATTTTCCAGTGTGGCCTGTGCTGAATACTGGGAAAAGGATATCTCCGATACCAAAACGCCAGATCCTGATAAGGTTTGCGACAGCATTGCCAAGGCTGGGAGTCTTGCAGTAATTCAATGGGCACGCGAAAAAGGATATCAGTGGAATGAACATACATGCACCGTGGCTGCAGGCAAGGGGCATCTGGACATTTTGAAATATGCGCGCTCGCTTGGCTGTCATTGGGACAGTGGGACTTGCTCTGCTGCAGCCAAAGGTGGGCATTTGGAAACTCTGAAGTGGGCTCATGACAATGGATGCCCATGGCGTACGGACACCTGCCGTGAAGCTGCCAGTGAAGGCCACTTGGAAATCCTACAATATGCCCGTTGGCATGGCTGTCCTTGGGACGCATGGACATGCTTTTCAGCTGCACGACGTGGACACCTCCACATTTTGAAATGGGCTATAGACGATGGATGCCCTTGGCACGCAGAAACGTGCACTGCAGCTGCCGGTGAAGGTCACCTGGAACTTCTAAAATATGCCATTGAACACGGATGTCCATGGAATGAACTTGAATGCAGCCGCCATGCTGCTTCTGGAGGCAAGGTCGAAGTATTGAAATGGTTACTCGAAAACGGCTGTCCATGGAATACGACTGCCCAAACATGTTCTAGTGCCGCAAGAAGCGGTCACCTAGAAACTCTGAAATATGTACGTGAGAATGACTCGCCCTGGGACGAACAAACCTTCGCCAGTGCTGCTGCTGCCGGAAATCTCGAAGTGCTGAAGTGGCTTCAAGACCAAGGTTGCCCATGGGATGAACGTGCATGTATGGATGCTGCTGATAATGCAGCTATTGAAGCGTTGCAATGGCTTCGAGACAATGGCTGTCCCTGGGATGCTCGCACGTGCGCAAGCGCCGCTGGCATCGATTTTGCAACATTGAAGTGGGCTCACGAGAACGGGTGCCCCTGGGATGCAAAGACTTGTGAGATTCTTGCAGAATCCAATAATCTGGAAGGTTTGAAGTGGGTTCGTGAGAGAGGATGCCCATGGGATGAGCACACAGTTGATGCTGCATATGATTCTGGATATGAGGCAATGATGAATTGGGCTATTGACAATGGATGCCCTGTGAGTCCCTATATCCAAGCAAGACTGGACGGAATTTTTTGAAGAAGAGGAGGAGGATGACGACCTATGAGGAGGCTGGTGCCTGTCCTCGCTTCTGAGACTTAGTTCTGGATAGCATCAAGCTCTTTGGCTATAGTAACAGACGAAACTAGACGCGGAAGCTTACTTAGCTGTACCACTGTATTCCCGCTCTGGACCTTTCGTGTCATGCCCCTTTCAGAATCAATCGTACGGTAGGTGGTTCTGTCATCGTTCGTGTATTGATGTTTATTATTTATAGATTACACCCAAAATACATTGACCGTCAAATGATGCGAGAGCATACTGACGGCCGTGGCACCGGCCAAGACAATTCCCGTGGTAGCACCAAGCTTGACCAGAAAGGCAGAATCTTCGTCGTCCATGGTTGCTGCAGTTTTCGTCGTGGTTGCCAGTAGGTTGGCCGAATTTTGTACGACGGCATCGGATGCTTGTTGCGTCAAGGAAGAGGCGGTCCGCGCCATTCCATCTGTAAAGGCCTCGTTGGATGTCGATTCTGTTGTCGGGAGAGGGTTTCCCAATTCATATGCCACACCGGCCTCTTGTGTGAGGACGTATCCCAATGGGATGGTAACTTCCACCTGTCCCACGGAGGACGTTTCAATGCGGGTTCCATCTTTCAAACCGGGAACGCCGTATACCTTTCATTATTATTATGATTGGTAGTTTTGAGTGAGTGATGATTGCCAAAATGAAATGAATGAATGAATGAATGAAAGAAAGAAAAGGAAAAATGAACACACAGAGGCAGAATCAAGAGGTTGAGAATGCCGGATCGATGAGACCAAAAACGAGGGAAATCAAGCTCCATTGGCCGGCCCTATCCAAACCAACACAAAAAGAACCGCATTTGATTTTTGGATTTCATTCATTCATTCATTCATGTTCCCGTAACCTACCTGTCCCGAAAGTCCTCCGGATGGTTCAAAGTAGAAATTGTCCAAAAATGGCAACATTTCGGGTGCTTGCTTCTTTGATTGGGATGGTTTGTTGTCAGTGCTTTCTTCTTCTTGTTGTGTAGGCGGCGCCATGCCATATCGTTGTTGCAAAAACTCGATCGGATATCCGCTGAGTTCGGGAACGTCTTGTAGCATGGTTCTCCAGAGAGCACACGTGTGGGGTGTTTCTCCGGGCAAGATTCGAATGTATTTGGGTAAATTGTCGTGTAGCGCGTAATGATGAAAATCGGACCACGGCATGGACAGAGACGACGACGGCGGTGATTGGATATTGTTGTTCTTTTTAGCCTTGCTGTTGTCGTCGTCTCTTACAACAGCGGAATCTCCATCGGCCACGGCACTCGACAAGATCATCCAGGAATGTCGAGCAAACTTGGTTCTAGTAGATGATGGTGATGGTGGTTGCCGATCCAGTGGGAGCACCGAAAAGGCATACACTTGACTTGATAGCAACAGTAAGAATAGCGGTAGTGGAGAGCTCGAGTACATCATTGTGAATAGAGATGGGGAAAGCCAAAAGATAGACACCACCAAAATCAGATCCAATAAATGTTGGGAGGTTTGGTGTGATCAGGTCGTATGATACTGAGTAGGGAAGTGCCTTGTTTCCTCCGCTTTTGTCAAACTCTATTAAAATACCACTGTAGCTGCTTTTGCTATTGGTAGTTTGCTTCCTTGCTAAGATTTGATTGCTTGTGCGAGAGCGAGGATACAAACAAACACACCGAATATTAGTACTAAAGATCGTCGGCAAAACCATGGAGTTCTTGAGGAGATCTTTGATGGCAATGGCCGATGGGTGTCAACCGCAAGCTGGTTGGCCGTATCTTTTGTGAAAATATAACGCACATTTGCCTTTCTGACGTGGCCATTCCTGGACCGAATTTTGTTTTCAAGTTCTTCGCCGAGGTCTCGTTGCTGGGTCCTTGTTGCTTATTTATTTGCTTGTCCCTGCACTGTTAGTCTACAGTACTAGCTAGCTAGTACTCACTCGTTTCCTCTTCTTACTGCTGTAAAACAACCAACCATCATGGAAGACGAGTCCGTCGAAGCCACAAGGATGATGATGATCGGCACAGCCGTGGCAGCATTGCTACTGGCCATGGCCATTAGCCGTCTTGTGCAGTGGCTTTTCTCCAAAACGTTGCCACCCGACACTGTTCGTCCACCTCATGTACAGTCCTGGATTCCCTACCTGGGATCTGCCATTGAAATGGGAAAAGATGTAGTGGCTTTTATTTGTCATTATGGCAAGCAGTTTCAGAGTCCCCTATTCACGGCCACCATTGTAGGAGAAACATGTGTCTTTGTGGCAGACCCAGAACTCATGAACATGGTATTCAAGCCAAAGTATGCACGGTATTTGGACAGTTACTCGCTCCAAAAAGACTTTGTCACAAATGTGTTGGGAGGAACTCCAAAAGATGTCCAGCAAAACTTTCACACGGATACTATCAAAATTGGAGGGAAACAGGCAAATCATTTCATCTTGAACAGAGACTCCATGGGAGTATCCGTGGGAAAAGTACAAGACTACTTTCAAAAGAACATTCCAGAATTGGCGACGTCCACAAACATTTGGACCAGTCATTCCATGTTCTCCATGGTCTATCAAGCTGTTTTCAAGGCTACAGCAGGACCACTTGTCAGCGACTATTTTGTCCAGGATGAGTCCTCCTGGGAAGCGTTTCAAGTGTTTGATAAGGGTGTGATTCCCTTGTTCAACAAGCTACCCTCTTTCTTGACTACAAAGGCACGACAAGCACGCTCTTCCTTGATTCAAACATTGCAATCCAAGGCATTCCAGGATCAAGCATCACCACTCATGAAAGCGCGAATCCAGGAATTGCCAGTGTCACCCTCGGCATTGAGTAAAGCCAATCTCGGGCTCATGTTTGCATCTGTGGGCAACTCGGCACCCGCCATCTATTGGTGCCTACTCCGGCTCATGGAGGATCCACCAGCATGGGAAGCCTGTCGTGCTCAAGTACAAGCTCTAGTACTCCAAAAGAAACAGACCGATGCCGGCACTACTACAACACCCACGTTTACCATGGATGATCTCGATCAAATGACTTTGCTCGAGTCGGCCTTTTGGGAAACCCTGCGATTGTACCAGGGCAATTTCACTGCACGAAGAATCACGGAGGATTTTGTTGTGGAAACTACCACCACCTACACGAACAAACAACAACCCAAAAAGTACCTGCTGGAAAAGGGCTCCCGAATCATGCCGTTCTGGGCCGTCCTTCATTACGATCCCAACATCTTTTCCAATCCCAAACAGTTCCAGTATGACCGCTTTGTGGGCAAGCCCCAGTTTACATTCGCAAGTGGAGCCAAAATCAACTTTTTCCCGGTCGTGGCATTTGGTGGGGGTGAGCACTTGTGTCCTGGTCGCAAGTTTATTTCCTACGAAGCACGTCTGCTGTTGGCGTTGCTCATGTTAAACTTTGACATGCGGTTGGCGGAGGGTGAGACGATTCCGGGAATTGATCTCACCAATATTGGTGTCGGTGTCTGTCACCCCGAGAGAGAAGTCAAGGTTGAAATTAAGAGGAGGCAAGAGTAGTACAACTGATTGATTCGATTCAAGCAAGGATGATTGAAGGGTCAGTTCTGCTTGGTTTGATAGCGGCAGGCAGTTCAGTTGATGGAATGGCTGGCACGTGTATGTACCGCAGTTGTTAAATCAACTCCAACGTCTCTGATGACACTGGTGCCCGAATGCTACTTGTTTGCATGCACATCGTTTGACTTATAGCTGCTTGTAGCTAACTACTAGTTTTGAGGATTTTTTGAACCAGTATGCATGCACGCCCAGCTTTGCTCTTCCCTGGGTTGAAGTCGAACTACAGTGTCGACTTGTACGTGTCGCTGCTGAGACACACAGCTGACTACTATTACGTCTGATAGGTGATCCTGCAGGGTAGCTACTTGCCGTGTCGAACCAGCAGTGGCCGTCGGTGAAGAGTACTAGGGACGAGAAGGCAATGAAATGAAACGTTCGGGCGTGTGGCCCTGTAATACTATCTATAGGTTATGATATTGTCCATAGAAGATCTATCTATCCATCGTTTGCTTCGCTTTGCTCACCGGCAAGGGGATATATACAGTTTGCGGTTGGCAACGAAGCTAGTGGCAATGGAAGGAGGTAGGATGGAAGTGTGGAGGTAGGTAAAATGTGTTCAGGAGGGTAAATCAATGCCGTTCCGTTGGGTGTATATACAAGCAATAACGGAGTGGCGGCAATCAGGTCGTATGTTCAGTTTGTGCAGGGTAGTATGATCATTTGGTCAGCGCGTGTATAGGTAGCAAGTGTTCATGGTCATCACCGGGGAAAGGAAAAAATGGTCGGCATGCATCTTGGGTTGGTTACATTGTTGTTGTTTGAGAGGTAGGGCTATCCATTCGTTCCACTACCACCAGAGTGCCTCGGTTGCCTTTGGTAATACGCAATGTGTCACTCAAATAGAGAAAGTCCAAGTGGCCACGAGGCGATCGTTTCATTTCAAAACCGACGGAATGATCGGCACTGCCGGCGGCTTGTTCGTCATTGGGCAGCACCATCTGGAACCACCATGCCAGCAAGGATTGCATGGTTTTGGATAGAAAGCCTCGTTCCGCTTCTGCCTTGCTGTATGCGTTGGCAAAGGTTTCCGTCCAGACGGCGAGCAATGCGGGATCTTGACGGACCGCTTTGGCGGGTACCAGCGTACTGCCCTTGAATGTGACATTGAGTCGATGGGGGAATTTGGAACGCTGGGCAGGACTCTCGTAACAAACTCCGCTGTGCATCATGACAGCCGGCAAGTCGACACCATTGGCAGTATGAATAGTAAGATCGAGGCAGATGGGATAGTCAAACGTCTGAAACTTGGAACGGTTGTTCTTGCCGGTGATCGAGTCTTTGACTCCCGAGCGGCTTTGGATGGATTGACGGACAGACCGTACTGTGCAGACAAGGTTGCGAGGTTGAAAGATGCCAAAGGAAAGACGACCCAGTGTGTACTGGACGACGCCGGGAGGAGAGTTTTTGATGCGGCCGGGGAATTCAGGAAGTGTGTGGCAGAGAAACTCTCCTTCCAACAGCGAAGATCGTCCAATGCTCTCGTGCTGCGGCTTCCACAGAGCGGCCAGGTCGTTGATGGCGGCCAACACTTGTGGATTCTTCGTGGAACCGTGATGCTTGGCGAGAAGGTCCTTCACAACTTCTTCTTGCCGCAGGCATTTCGCGGCATTGTCACAATCAAGAGGCTCATCGTCGGTGAACATAATTTGGGTGTGAGACTCTTCCAACGTTCCTGCTGTAGATGCTGTTGTTACCATTGTTGTTGTTGTTGTCATGGTGCAGTTGATACTGATGTTTAGTTGATGTTGATTCCGTTTTTATGAGCCTGCCCAAGTCTTCCGGTTTCCGTCGAGCCATCCAGTTTCGTACGTGTGCGTCTGTGTCGCTGGTCGCAAGCTGCGTGGGGCGGTACTGCAAAAAACATCAAGCTTGTTTCCATACCATTAATAAGCCCAAGGGTTCGCAAACCCTCGAATGACGAAGTAGGCAATATTGGTTATTTAGTGGCTGTATGTCATGGCGACAGCGGAGCTTCTCGAAATGGGACACATCATTGCATACGCACAGTTCACACCGCGAGGATAGTTCGACCTCAGAATTTAGAATTCGGTACTCGAAAGTGCACTGAGAACTCGAAAGTGGCAGCTTCCGGTGACCATCAAGGGGTAAAAACGTACAGGCCTGTGCTATAGTAACTACACCCGCTCTCTGTATTCGAAGCGACCCAGGAAGGCCTATCTAGCAAGCTAAATGTACTACATTGTACGGTATCTGGCTAGCTAGCTAGCTGGGTTGCATGTTGGATGGACATCACTTCAATCTGAAGTGGATACTGGACTTGGCCATTGTGCTTGATGAGCGGCAATTGGCAACTGGGATGTTTGTTGTATGGTGAGCTGTACATTGCATGTGGTATGTTGCATGTGGCATTTTGCATGTGCTACTCTGTCCAGCTCCCTGTGCGCACAATGAATGCCGGTCACTGGTTGGCGGTGTGAATAGTTTTCGGTGGTGTTCTTTCGAAGGAGCAACTGAGACCTTGACATGTATGTTGAGCCATGGTGACACCATGGCACCATGGACAGCCAGCCACATGGCCACGGTGATGGCCTTTCCAAACCCAGTTGTCAGCTGCTCAGCCGCCATCTAGCTAGAGCTGTTGTCATTCGAATCTGATAGACCTGCCTGCTAGTAGATAGGCTGCGATAAAGGTGAAAACATGACAGGAAGCTCTCTTCTTGCTGGGTGGGGTGGTCTACGAGTCTATATTGCCTGAAGCCTGAGGTATGGCAGCTTCCACAGTAAGAGATCTGATGAGTTATGGTTTGCAGCACTGGAGAAGCTTTGGGGTTCTGCTGGTACCGTCGTGGCTAGACTATCAGATTAAATTTTGGCTGAAAATTGGCCTTGGCTTGGAGCTGAGCAGTACCGGTACGGCTGTCCAAGAGGATTATTTGCTCCTTCCCGAATGCAGGATTAGAACAAACCCCCTCGGTCCCTCGGTGGGCTACCGGTACTACTATCTATCTCTCATCTCTCATGCTCTCACGAATGTCAGAGTTCAGAGGTTTGAGAATACCAGGATCCGGAGGAGTCACTGAGTCGATGCAAGAGGAGAAAAAGAAGGAACAATACGAGTAAAACTGGAACAATACCAAGACTTGTACATGTACTGTGGATAGCCTGAGTGGACATGATGCATCCTCCACCTACTAGGCAGCCTCGAGCTTACCGGTAGCTAGCTAGCCTACCGTACGGTACTGCTGGAGCTCAAGGAAAGTGCAATGCATCCTGGTAGTAGTTCTTAGTGGATGAAGGAGGGAAGAGAGCAGCAGCCTCAGCCTTGGCATAGAGAGACATGGAAGCTAGACCAATGGGAATGGCTACTGGCACTCTAGCTCTAGCTAGAGAGTACGCATACAGCAGGTTGTTGGCATCATTCCATTGCAACAGCAACATTCACCATAATATATGCTTGTTCTCCAAGAGTGGGAAACAGTTGGGGGTCGTAAGATGGACAGGTCTTTGCGGAATGCATTAATTTTTGTGTTTTCAATCAGAGTTTTATCGGCCCCAGACCCCAGTCAACCAGTATTAATAGTCTAGCTAGTTTCATAATGATTATGAGGGCTTCTTTGAGCTGATGAAACCCTGAAGAAAGTTGCAACAGACACCAACATCTATGCTATCCACGCATCCACACTACTTACCGACTAGTTGCTTACACCGTCGGTGAATAGAAGCATCGTCTGCGTATTGTTATTGTACCATAGGCAATACCCGTAGACGAGGCTACAAGGCTACAGCCAGGGATGATAAGAGTGGCCAGAGTGTGGCCAGCCACTAGTAGTACCACAATCTTGTAGCCGACTGAGCAGTCGAGCTGCAGGTATCGTACTACATGTACCCATGTACCCATGTACCGGTACTAGCTAATAATAGTACATGTAGCCAGCTACATACGCTAGCTAAGAGTACTTTTACAGGATGACTTTATTTACCGTTGACAGGTGTAAAATGTGAGCGTTTTTGACTGTTATGTTTCGGTTTTCGGAAATGGGAATCCGGAAGTGGTCATTTCGCGAATCGTGGCTGATTTGCACGAATCTTTGCGCGATTTGCCACCAACAGCAGAATAGAAAAGAATAACAAAGAACAAAGAAAAAATCAATTTTACCACCATGGCAACAGTGTTGGCCAAATGGTCTCTAGCTTAACCAATACATTGTTCTGGCCTATCCGGACAGAGGACTAGCTCCCCAACACACTCACAGGCACTCTCCTTGCGCGGGATAGGCCATCTCCAACCTTTGTCATGGAGCCTCTATAACAAACCAGGCTTGGATTCCATTTTGTTGTCATTCTGCCATGGATTTCTCCTTGGGTAAGGTGCTCCTGTCCTCACTCTCAGCACCCAATCTGCACTGTAGAGTATGGTAGAGGAGTAGGTGGCTTTGGATGAAGACTGGAGCACCCATCCCAAAGGTTCAAAGGAGATTGTTGGCTAAACCATGGCAAAAATTGCGCAGATATCACATAAATTTGTAGTCAGTCGATTACTCGAAGCCGTACGGTAGTAGAAAATCTGCCGCTTGTTTCACTCATAGTAGCACTAGCAGACGCTCACGGCCACTCCGTGGATCCTCATGGTTGCAGGAAGAAGACCGAAGAAAGAAGACCGAATTGATCCGTCGAACGGAAGCTTGTTGCCATCGCTTGGTGTTCCAGTAGTAGTAGTAGTACCGGTACCGGTAGTCGCTTGTTGTGGTAGAGGAGTCATCGCTCCGTGGAAGAGGAGGCGTCATGGTCATGGTCGATCCGTGAAAGAGGCTCCGTGGAAGAAGAAAGAAGTCACCAGTCATCCACCGAATCGATCTGCTGTCATCGACCGATCCGACGAACGGCTGCGCTTGCCAGTCTAACCAAACAAGAGGAGCCTGTCATGGTGGTGAGTAGTAGCCTTTGTTAAGAGGAGTAGCCACTATAGAGGAGATAGCATCATCTTGATAGAGTCAATAGAGAGTAAAGATAGAGGTATCGAACAGAATAATGACAACAGGAGGATACGAGTGGCTTGGATCGATCGATGCGAGTGATGTCAGCGGAGATTAAGGTTAAGGCTATATATGTCCCTTAAGTCTTTTGGAGGAACGTTCCAAGAGGTTCCGGTTCGCATTCGAATGTCTTACCGGGAGCGGGCTTGCGTTTGTCTCGATAGCTTAGATTCAGCCTGTATGCATAGAGTGTAGTTGTCAGGCAATGTTTCGATTCGATTCTCTGTGATTCGATTCTCTGTGTGCACCTTTCAGATACACGAATGATGAGGTCGCGGGTTGCATTTCCGGTGCTGTCTGGTTGAAGGAAGGAGGAAGGGGCAATACTTCGAATCGATCCCAAGAGCCCAAGAGAATCACAGTGAGAGCGTCACTGAGAGAGCGTCACGAGTCATCCTCCGACGTTTTTGTCTCCAGTTCTCGTTTGTACTTTTCTACTTACTTTTGCTGGTCAGCGAAGTCTGAAGTTCAAATATAAAAGGCTTGGCCTAGATGCAGAGCAGTTTTTTACAGCCTAAGCGTTCGTTATTTATCATCTTGTTAAACCACTCAATCTCCTTTCCAAATTTTTTCGTCTCTCTTATGTCAGTGAACCACATCCCGAATGATCGAAGATGGGATTGCACATACTACCTTACACAACTTCTATAGTAGAAACCCATGCACCTTTGGGTCATGCATGGAAAATGTGGGAGAGGCCTCTAAAAGAGCTCTAAAAAGGTCGCTGTTGCAGTTCAGCTGTTCAGCTTCCAGTTCACTAGGTTTGGCCTAGCTAGCAGACGCCAGGATCAAAACGCGAAGTGACAGCCACAAGCTCGGCAACAACAGCACCTCAAGAACAACACCTCAAGTTTTCGTTCGTCTCTTCGCTCACAATTTTATATTTGCTCACCTCTTCCAAAGCTACTAGCTTGTTATAAAAGCAGCAAACAACAGCAGAGTAACCATGGAACCTCTTCGTGCTTCTTTCCAACAACGCCGCTGGAGCTCGTTCAACAAATCGTTGAGCAACCTCTCCGTGAGCTTCTCCGTCGGGACGTTGAAGGATCTCTTGCTCAAAGTCATCCCCATTTGCCAAGGCGTCGACCGTCTTTGCTGCCAGCATGTGGTAGAGCTGATATGGCGACACAATGGTGCGGAAGTCCCCAATGACGAACTGGAAGAAACTGCTTGCTTTTTGGAAGGACTGCTTTCTCCTAGTTACGATCATCTGGATAAGACACTTCTCGTGCACATTCACTCTTGTATCGGTATGATCCGAGAACAACAAGGCGTTCTGGACAGAGCCATTCGATCACTGCAACTGGCACTGTGGCTGCAGCAAAAGGTAACCACTGATCAAGTGGCTCTTGCTGTTACGGAGCACCGATTAGGCTTGGTATATGCCAAGATGGGAGATTACAAGAAGGCCACATATCTCATTGAGAGAGCACTCAAGGCATACTCAGATGCCAAGCTAAAGACGGGGCACACCTGTATTGTAGAAGCAGAGGAATCCTTGTCCGGAATTCGAATAAATAAGTTGATGGAAGATATGGAGATGCAACGATCGGTATCAGAGCATCTTGCTGGTATTATGGAGGATGATGACCAACAGCAAGATCAAGAGCAACGGCAAGAGCCACAGCAACCAAAACCAAAGCGTAAACCTAAAAAACACGTTCTGCGGGCAAGATCAGCGTAAATTATAGCCACACCATTGTATCACTAGAGCCACAAATAATCCACACACGCAAATTGACGTTCTCCATCATTTGGTACTCTAGAGTAGTAGTATAGTAGACGCAGCTGTGTTGGGAAGGTACGGCACTGCTACACTCCTCTTCCCAACAGCATTGGCACGGGCTTTGTTGGAATTGGAGAAAAAAGGAGGGGTGAAAAGTTTGATTGAGACAGCCAGGCAGGTAAAGTCTACATGACCTGCTCGATGCCGCTAAACGGTTACGTTGCTCAAAGATCACCTGAACCGCTTGACCTAAGCTTCACCCCTACCTGACAGCAGAGATCCCCTTCAAAGGTGACCGAAGCATCAGTGAACTTCAAAGGTGAATTACTTGAGCTGCTAGGAGTGCGGCAAAGCTTGCCAAAGATAAGTTGACCTAGTCTCTAGCTGGCTGGCTAGGTTGAAGGCACAAGGAGTCAACTCCCATAATATTCGTAACGTCACCGTGGCCATGTCTCTTTTCGGGCAGCAGCCCACCAACCGCTCTACTGGCTCCAAGGCACAAGCAAGATACAATTGCCTAGAAGCTGCGATTACTTGCCTGCAAGGAAGTTGCTCGCTTTCATGTGGCTTGCTGGACGAATGGGGATCACATCAGCAGCTCTGATGGCCTAGAGCGACTACACAAGCCCCAGAGAAGCCCAAGAGTACATGATGTATGTACATGCATGTACGTGCTGGCTGCGCGACCGGTGGCTTGGGGGTAGATAATTTTGGTGAATTGCTGTAACCAAACAGCAATCTGGCTGGCCTGTGATTGTCCGATGTTATCCTGCAGGCACTCGTCGCCAGTCGGCCAGTACCTCTTGGAGTAATCATGGGGACGACCGAACTGAATGTAGATCTTGCTATAGTAGGAACTTGTCTGCAGGCCTGCGAAGGTGTTGAACGGTGAGTCTTGCTTGGTGGCGGTCCTACAGTAGTCGGGGTGTCGCAATTGGATGCATCGCATTGGAGATTCTACATTGCATGTTCACCATACCCCATCACGCAGAGGATACCATAGTAGATACATACTGGCCACATGCTCACGGCGCGCGGTAGCAGCTGGCAGGTGTGGGCTGATTAAACTCCGTCCTGTCAAGCAAGGAATGAACCTGCAGTCGTCAAGCAAGGTAGGGTTCACGGTGGCGGGGGCATGGGCGACAGCTGTGCTTTGATGAAGAAACTTCCATGCTCTGGCCTCCCTTTTTACCCATAGCTAGCTAGCTTCTCATCGGTATATCAAGGCTTGTCATCTCCCACCCCGTCTCCACCTCATGTCCGACCTGGGAAGTCCAGGACCACAACCAGCAACCCAACACTGCAGCCAGCTCCACAGCTCCAGTCCAGCTTGAACACGACACAACCCGCATGACATGCAGTACATGTACATATTACATGTCATTGAGTCGCAGGCAGACGTAATTTCTCAGGAAATTTATTTACGGGTAAGAGAGCGACTCGACAGATAGAAGAGCAGCAGAAGTCAAGCAGAATGATCCAGTGTCATCTCTCTCAACAACACAAACGG